TATATAATATACCAAGCCAAATCAACCCAATATATCAAATATGAGGGGTCAGGAATTGTTTAATTGACAGTTGGGAATAGCTTCAATTGTTTGGTATATTTGTTAGTAGGTTTGATAGATTGGCTTTGGCGGCAGCGCTGGTGACGTCCATGTTCTTGAAGTATCTTTTCTCGGAATCCTTGACGAATTGTTCGTGGGCCTCGAGTGCGATACTTTGCACCTGAAGCTGTTCGATCTGCGCGTAGGTGGACCAAAAGTCCAAGTCGTAAGAGAAAGGCTCTAGTTTCTTCTCTAAGCCTTTGATTCTGTGAAAGATGCGGCCGTGTTCTGCTTGAATCTGTTTCAACGACATGGACAGAAGTTTGGACGTGTTCCAGGGAGTTTCCGATGCTGTCGACGGTTGTGTTGGTACTTTATCCCCATTCTGGGGATCTGATGTCTCCGTTTTGAAGCATGTCTGCCAACTGGACACAGATTCGGCATCACAGAGTGAATAACTCGGGTACGGTGACGGGGCACGGTCATCCATTTCTGCTCGTCTTCGTTGAATTCTGTGCTTGTTGAGTGTGTATGTCGTTCGTGATGTCAACGCTTTTGCTGATGGAAACTATATCTGGGCATGAGAGGAGGGATATAACACCAATTGTTCCAAACGTGAAATGTGCCTCCTGGTTTATGGCAAGCTGCCTTCAGGTCCAACATTTAGCCACCTCTGTGGCCGACCTGGATGACTGGCCAACTCATTCCCACACTTTACGCTATGACTTCTGGAGATGCAAGGTCCTCAAAGACACCCTTTTGCCTTTTTCTCTTTTTTCTTGTTTTCTTTCTTCCTGGCAATGTTCGAATTCTGGACTGGTTGGTAATTTCAGGCTCCATTTGAAAACGAATTTTGTGGTTGCAGATGCTTCTCATTTGCTCAAGAAAAGTTATTGACAGTTTTAGGTCTACGTAAGTAATAGAATGAACGCAAACAAGAAAAACGTTCCGTTTTGGCCGATGTTTGGCTGCTTACGCCTATCCTCCGCGCATGCTCCTAGGCCGTTGTTATGTGTCTTTCACTGCACATCAGAAAGATCCAACCTGCCGTTTTATATCCACGGACTTCAGATATTTTGATATTCACAGGGAACTATGCGCCACTGGGTGACTGGGTCTTGAATGCTTTATTACGTAGATCCCTCCACCTTGTGGACCAAAAAACGCAAGTGTCGGAGACCCTACCCCCACTACTAGCACCCACGACTTGGAGACTTGGAGTCGGGAAATGCGACTTGGAGATGTGCTGGAAGACGTTTTTCGGACCGCACATACAGACTCCACATGACATACAACAGATTACTCATCCAATTGACTCGCTGCTTGGCGCAGACGTCCTCTTGATGAATGGGGTACCTGACAAATCTGTCGTGAGCCGAATGACACTCCCACTCCCACGGCCACAGCAAGACTTATGCCAAAGACCTTTGGAACAATCTTGAGAACAAACAAGAACACGTTGGTAACTGCAACACGTGTTATTGTTGGACAACGCCCACTTCAGACGTCATCTGACAAATCAGTCTCATCATTGCTACACGTAGAATGTGCTGTGAGGGTTGTAGTACTATAGCAGAGAATGCCACGGGTTACGAAAGGGTCGTCCTCGTCTACTGACTATAAAACGAACCGTTGAGCAAAGAAATTCTCATTCTTTGCGTCAACGCACTTCCTCTCAGAATCGACCATCAAGCTCCAATTACAACATGACGTTGCCCGAATATACTTCAGGATGGATAATTCAAGGCACCGCACCTAACGATGGCTCGGCAGCTCTTGTCTGGAAACATAATTTGGACTTACCGAAGCTCTCCGAGAATGATGTTCTCGTTCAATTCCACGCGTGGTCTCTGAACTACCCTGAGATTGCAAGTGAGTTCTGGCCCTGTCAAGCCGCGCGACCAATGACATTCATAAGCTGACTGCCGTTCAAGTCGCCACTGGAACTTACCCCTGGAAACAAGACGACCGGATTGGCATTCCAGGTTCTGATGCAGCAGGAGAAGTCGTCCATGTGGGCAGCGGTGCCAAGAACCTTACTGTTGGGGATCGAGTCTTCCCCATCTACTACCCAAACTTCGACTTTGGATCAGCCCCCACTGTCGAGACCGGGCGAGGTGTCTGCGGTCTGGATGCCCCGGGAGTATTCTGCGAGTACGCTCTTTTTGATCAACGCGCTTTGTCAAAGATCCCGAAGAACCTTTCGTACAAGGAAGCAGCAACTCTTCCGTGTTCGGCACTGACTGCATGGAACGCGTTGTACGGGTATAGCCAGATCAAGCCTGGATCCTGGGTTCTCGTGCAAGGCACAGGTGGCGTGTCGATGTTCGCCATTCAATTCGCCGTTGCTGCCGGGGCCTCGGTAATTGCCACGACGTCCTCAGAAGCGAAGGCGGCGCTCCTTCGCAAGATGGGAGTCAAACACATCATTAATTACAGAGAAGATCACGAGTGGGGGGAGACGGCCCGCAAACTCACTCCTGGAGGCCGTGGCTGCGACCACGTCATTGAAGTCGGCGGGCCTGCGACAATCCGTCAGTCTTTCCAGTGCGTTGCGCGGGGCGGTGTCATTAATGTTATCGGATTCCTTGCTGGACAGACTCAGGGACCGGAGGATCCGACATTCCTCGAACCCTTGGTTCGGGCTTGTGTGGTTCGCGGCGTGGAAGTTGGAAGCCGACAGCAGCTTGAAGACATGATCAAGGCCATCGAGTGTCATGATATCAAGCCTGTGCTGGATAGCGTCGAGTTTTCACTGAGACAGCTTAAGCAGGTCTATGAGCGAGTTTGGAAGAGGGAGCACTTTGGAAAAGCCGTGATCACTGGTATTTGAGAAGCTCGTTGTCTTGATACCTAGATTACGGGTGCTCAGTTAGTCCTGTCATTATGAGTTTATGCATTCCTTTTAGACAATAGAATTCATCGTCAACCTCTCATGCACCCTTAACTTAGCCATCGAGTGTTCGAGGGGCAAACAGGAGTCGACTGGGTTCTGGGCTCTGTCGCGTCTCCACCATCCAGCTTGGCGTCGGATAATCCGGTGAAGGCACCACCGCCCAGGGGTTCTCCGGGAGTATTGCTAGGGCACCCTTTCTCTGAACATTTGGAAAGACTTAAACCGTTTTTTCCTGTCATTCAGGGGCAGAAGTAGTGTTTGCAGAGGCTCCCGCTCAATGTAAGCTAGCACAGCTTGACTTTGAACGTACGAAAAATGTGAGATCAAGCGTAAGTTTTGACTGTTTTCTTACAATCCGAAAAGTCGTCATTGAATAGATCTGAAAAGCATGCGGCGTCAATAGCTGGTCTTCTGGAATCGCATGGTTATCATCAACTTGATGCACGCGACAGTGTTGCATCGCTGCAGCGCAGCTTTCGGAGTGGGCCATGCTTGTTTAATGGTAACTTTAATTGAGCTTCACCAAAGAGAGGTCTTGGTCTGAAGCAAGTCGCCAAGACCGTGTTTAATCAAGGTACATCGGAATCAGCCAATGAAGTGCTCGGCTTGCTGAGTTTACTTGACTAAATTTGCGTGTAAGGGCAAGTTTCGGAAACCTTAATTATCTGTAGCTCATTAGTCCAAAGTGCCAAGTCTCGGAGCTGTGTCTGTTTGTAGCGCTTTCAATCATTCAAGGGGGCACTACTGGGCTTAATTGTTCGGGATTGTTCACGATGGTGACACGAATGACCGGGTACAAAACCCAAAGTAGGGACAAAACCCAACCTCCAGTCGGAAAGCGCCTCATGCCTCACTGCTGTTGACACCCTTCCCTTCTTAAAATTCTTTTTCACAGTTTGCGGCCTGTGGGCGCACCTTTTTGACTGCCGTATGCTCCCACGGAAATCTTCGCTCTTCGGTCTTTTGATTGCCGTATTCCTTGTCACTCAACCATCCAGATCCGGGATAGTGACTTTTCAATCATGGCGAAGTTACTAGCAACTTTGTCAACAATCCTTGCCGCCCTGCAGATTGCCGCAGCAGCCTGCAATCACCCAAGCGTGAGGAAGCCTTGGTGAGTAATTATCGACCCATTGATGAGTCGTGATCAATGAGCTGATCAGCGATTTGCGTAGGACATCACTGACCGAAGATGAGAGAGCTTCCTACATTAATTCGACGTTATGTCTCATGGACCCGGCCCGGGCTCCGGCCCAGGTGGGAAGCTGGGGTGCCAAAAGCCGGTGGGAAGAGCTACTTGTGGCGCATATTGCCCAAGTCAGATACATCCACACAGTCGTAAGTGGACCAAAATGAGTTGTATGAGGGAGTCGCACTGAAGACGGCTTCTGACACAGGGCGCATTGTTTCCATGGCATCGCTGGTACACCAAGATCCATGAAGATTTGCTTCGAAACGAATGCGGCTACACCGGGCCCTACCCGTAAGGATCTTGCTCCTGACATCATCGGATATACGGCGTTCTCTGCTGACATCAACTCGTAGTTATTGGGACGAGCAAGCAGATCAGGCTATCAACCCTATTCAGAATGCGAGCGTCTGGGATCGTCCTGCCTCGAACACTTCAGCCGTCGTCGGCTTTGGTACTGGACGAACCGACCAGGACAATTGCATTCTCGATGGTGCCTTTGCGGGATACCGTGTAGAGATCTCAACGCAACTGACGCGCAACGAGACTGGAAGCTGTCTCACTCGCGGTCTGAACCAGACTGCCTTCGACACCGTGTCACAAAAGGATGTCGTAGAGCCATGCATGGCAATGGAGTCTGACGACTATGCTGAGATGATGAACTGTTTGGGAAACACGCCGCACAGTGGTGGACACCTTGGTGTGGGCGGAATTGTAAGTTGAGTTCCAGACAACAGCGGATGTCGTAGTTAACCAAGCTCCAGATGAGAGACCACGCCAGATCCCCGGCCGACCCTATCTTTTGGCTGCATCACACGAACTTCGACCGCCTGTGGTGGAACTGGCAGGCAGCTAACTTGACGTCCCGTCTGTATGCTATGGGTGGCCCAAATGTGGCCAACGGACAGATTTTCATTGATGCTCAGCCCGCCATCCTCCCTATCGAAGCCTTCGTGCCATACTTCGGAGACGGTGGCAACGTTACGACACTGGATCACGTCATGTGGTTGCCTGGTCTGGCTGAGAACATTACAATCAGAGACGCGATGGATATTAGGAGCGATCTCATGTGTTTTGAGTACGTCTAGATGATGCACGTAGGGAAGTGCTATATGGTGATACAGTCTCGATAGCAATAAGAAGAATTTGAAGGGCTCAAATGACATCTGGTTTTCATTCATTCATTATTCTTGTGATGTGGCAGAGAGGCTAGGCTAACCTGTTTGTGTCATCATCGTCTAATCCAGCCCAGGCCCGCTTGCACGCAGCCTTTGCGCTACTTTCTCTCGTTGAGTCTTACATGAGCATTATGTTCTGCTTTTAAGTGGAACTGACCGTCGCAATTATGCACTCGTAGTACGAGTCGTCCTCGGGTGATTATGGTCAAGGTGTAGAGAGCTTCGTGTATTGCTTGCACATAACGGTTTTCACAATCTACTTGCGTCCTGTAAGAAATCCGGATTCTTATTTTAAGCAGAGCACCTTTTATCTATCCCAGTCTATAAGTCGAAACAAAACCAAACCCAAGTCTATCAGCAATGAAGCAGTACCAAATCTAGTGTAGCCACGGTAGCCATTGAGGATGCATAGTCAAGCATGCGTCTAGGCAGAGGCCTTTCCCTTTCCCTTACCCTTGTCCTTGCCCTTACCCTTTCCCTTGTCCTCGGCCTTGGGCTTGAGAGCGCAGTTGTGGGGGTTGCCGCTACCATCGGCCTTCTCCTTGGCGCCGATGCCGCAGAACTGGAGGTTCTTGTTGTAAAAGACACGAATGGGGCCGGGAGAGTTGCCGTCCTTCTTGGCATTGTAGTTGTAGGCCTTGCCGCCCGGCAGGACGGGGAGCTCCCAGACATCGCTGGAGCAGCCTGAAGCGAAGTTCATGACGTTGCCCAGGTTGCCGAAGGGCTTGGGGTAGCCGCTGGAGCCCTTGGTGGTCTTGGCGGCGGCGACGTCGCGCATGGCGTCGGCGAGCTTGATCTCGCCGTACAAGGCGCCGCTGTTGCTGGAGCCGGCCTTGCAGACGTAGACGTCCTGGAGTGGCGAGGTTAGCAATCTCATGGATGAATGATGAGCGAAGGCGCTGGGTTCAACTTACATCGCCGGCACGGATCTCAATGATGCCTTCTCCGTTATCAGAGAAGGAGACCGGGGAGGCAACAGCCACGGAGGCGGCGAGGAAAGTAAGAAGCTGAGTGAAGGAAACCATTTTGATTGTTGGAAGGAGTGTTGGTGTCGTTTGAGACGAAAGAGTGTGGTGATTCTGTCGTAAGAGAGTGTATTGAGTGAAGAAAAGGAGCGTGGTGAAGCTGTCTGAGTTGTGAGTGAATGATGAGCTGGATGAGTGCATTGAACGGGTGACTTCGAGGCCTATTTATCTTCTTCGATGATACCTTCGTGATGCCGAAGACCTCCAATCCGTCTCATCATGCCATGCCGAGCCACCCAGATGAGCTTTGGTCTTGGTTCACAGCCCATGTTGAGTCCATTAAGAAACTATTTTCAGATGAAACTACCCTTGTAAGTCGATGTGATAGAAGTTCAAGTGCCAGCATAAATCAGCGGGCATTGCTCCTGGGCCTTGGCACGAACAGGTGGGCCTGTTGGGCAGAATATTCCGCTAGGTTGTGTCACATCGCTATCGTTTTGTTTTCTCACCGTGTTAACTGTACATCTTCGGGGAAACACAGAAGTTGTCCGATTTTTATTCGTGTTTTGCCCTGAATTTGAGCTATTTCCTACGATGGCAATGTTTCATAGTTAGGATGACTTTCTAGTACCTGCATTCGGACAATTCGCTGAACAGTTGACAAGCAGTTGTGTTCCAGACGTGTCTCGACGGGTAGTGTTTGAGAAACGACTGGAGTAATTGAGCAGAAGGGAGAAAGAGTTGATGAAATGCAGTGCAAAGCTCCTCATCGATGACATTTCTGTCGAACGCTGATCGGTTGCTCCGTAGTTCTCCACAAACCCACTTAGACTGACCCACGGGCGAATTCTCGCGAACCCCTCTCTCGGGCCGCTCCCATTATTCCAGAACAATGTCGTGATGCCCCTCGCCAATCATGTAAGTGCGTTTCAGAAAGATGGCCCGCCACGGATCGCGGCAGCACCTCCAGGTGCAAGCTGAGCTCTTAAGGTTTGGCGCCAAGTCTGTCAAAGGTCCCCGGTATTTGAACATTTGGACAGTATCGTGGGCCTGGCAAGCGGCTGTGCCATACCCCGGACGTATCTGCCGGTCAGGCCGACGGTTGAGAGCCGAAACCTTAAATTGAAGTTGTCGAGCGCTGTTTCTTGGGGGCTGATGAATGATCCGCATCATCCGAAGTCAAATGCCAGAAGACGTGATCCCTACTCAATTTTCGTATTGACGGCCTGAAGCTCCAGGCCTCGTCCGATCTCGCTTTATTTCTCGTCAACTGGCCGTGTCCCTGTTACCTCGATGTTTCTGGACTGGTGCTTTCGAGATGTAAGAATGTTACTGACTCACTCGGCGTATCTTGCTCATCTCGACTAGCGGCCTGAGCCAAGGCCCTCAAATGGAGCCGCCTGGTATTAATAGATCCTGACTTTACTGATCACTTCCTCGGCGACAAATACCTTCTTCAGCACATGCTTCGAGTACTCCTGACACCAGGAACTATCATCGCTATTTCTCAATTGTTTTCTGCCAAACAAGCAGCCGAACTTTCCGATTTTTCAACGTCGAGACGTGACAATGTCGCCAGTGAAACTACAGCTGGAAGACCCTGGCGCCCCCGACTACGCCGGTGAGGTCATCGACATCCTCAATCCTGCTATTGCCTCAAACAGTCCCTCATCCCAAAAAGAGGCAGCACTGGCGATTGACGCACTCTGCAAACGAGAATGCACAGCGGCGGGCTCAGCAGGCGGTTTCTTGTGGTGGTTCTGGGATCTGGTCCACGACCTCTCACGCCAGCTTCCCTATGACAGCGAAGAGCAAGACCGATTGGCAGCAGTGATCAGGAGTCTCACTGACCTGCCGCCCAGAAACGTTTCCTTGGGCGAAGAATGGGGCAGTGGTGATGCGAGCACTGTTGAGCTGTGGACTAATCTACCCATGTTTGGCAACACATTCCGCGAGAAACTTGATGACGGTATGCGATACTATCAAACAATGTTAATTGATAGTTTGCTGACGATGGCCAACCCACAGACGACTCTGCAGCATCCTCAGAAGATCTCAAGAAGAGTAGGCGCGTCAATCTCGATGCTTACGCAGCACGGGTTGCAGGGCTTTGCCATCTGCCCTTCGAAGTCTACGCCATCTGGGCTTTGGTGAATGCGTTGGAGGACACGCACTTCAATAAATCAGGCCCTGCTCTAGAAAATCAGGTGGCAAGAAAGGCTAGAGATCACAAACTCATGAGTGCTGCGGTATGGATGATTCATGCCGGACACCTCCTGTATGGACGAGATGAGCAGATCTCCGGGGCTACTGTAGGGCCTATGTGGAAACAAAGGCGCATGCTCAATGGAACGGATGGTTTGAGCCCTGAGCGGTGGCAATTCTGGAAAGCGAGGTTTGCTGTCTTGAGAGATGCTGACAGCCTAGACGCACAGTCTTGCCGTGTTGCTGGAGGCGCGTACACCATGATGGAGAAGCTTGAGAATGACTTTCCATGATAGTTCACAACAGAATCCTTTCAAAATCTCAATGCATAAACAGAGCTTAGACCAACTTAACATACAGGCAAGTAGTGTGGGTGAGTAGCTTGAAGCTCAGCAAGAGCTGGCCTGAGCCACCAAAAGAACCATGTGTGAAACTTCCTGGGTGAGGCCCACGTACAATTCTGAGTAGTCATAATTCATCAAGATTAATATTGAAACGTGATGGCCACAAGGAACGGTGAGAACACGAGAATGGCTAGCGTTAGAGTCATTGAGCATCTGCTAGTTCGTTTGAGGTTGCTCGAATTGCGGCCACCTATGCCAAGCTTTTCGAAGAAGTACCCGCAGCTTTGGATTGGTTGTACCACGATTCAAAAAAATGAAGAATTGAGGGAATTCGAGCACTGACTGCTGCCATTTGGGCTCGAAAAATCCCCAGAGATCCGGCCTACCCCTTGTGGACGAGACGGCCAAGAATGACAAATGCCTCCAAAAATGGGCGACCTAGAAAAAGCAAATATTATGGGGGAGATGGGTTGTAGAAACTCACTGGCCAATAGGTGACCAGATTTTGCTTACGTAACAAGTGAGGTGGAGTCGGTGAAACCTTCTGTCGCGGCCCCTTTATCGCGTTCTCATGGTGAGATTCGACAACGACCATCGCACCGCCTACACTCACAGCCATGGTCAAGTTTAAGCCGGCCCGGGATGAGCTTGTCGGAAACCCCCGCCCTGCATCCCAGCAGGCGAGGCAGGCCGTGATGGACTACATTAATGATGAGCGCAATCCCGTCGTGCTCGATGATCGGTGGGCCCCCAAATACTACGTGGTCTACAACCTGCGGGGACCTCAGGCGCACGGCAGGAAGTACGGCATCTTCACGAACTGGAACGATACCAAGGTCCAAACTGAAGGCTGCAAGAACAAAAGTACGTGCATGGACTCGCTGTATGGTCCGTCAGCCCCACCATGCTAACATGGGGGAATCAACCCAGACACTACTGCTTCGACTTTCGACCAGGCTGTAAGTGAATACCTCCATATTCGTGAGCTAGGAGACTTACACACATTAGATGAATCTTCTAGTAGAGGGGCTGGCCCTCGAGATCGACGATGGCTCTTTGTTGAATTATCCCCCGGTACATCCAAGTCAATCCACCGTACCCGCCCCTGCACCTGCGTCGGCGCCTGCCCCGGTCAAGCGGCCGAGGGAGGAGGAGCCCGAGCCTGACCCGGAGACTTCAGCTGCCTTTATTGTTGACGTGCATCGATCTAAAAAGGTCAAACACGAGGAAAATTACCAATCTGGTACACCTCAGTCACCAATCATGGTGGAGGATGATTCCGATCAGGAGGCAACTGAAGAGGGGCAGGATTTCTATGAGGCCGCAATCAAAGGGGAGGGGGCTTTTGAGGACGAGGAAGAAGCAATGAGGGAAGCTGAGGGATTTATACCTCTCA